AAAACTAAATTTTCTGAGATTTAAAAAAATCACATCACTTGTCATATCTCGTAAACTACAAAGATTTGAACAGTCATAATTGGAAATCGCTGCTCAAATAGTATTCTGACAGCCTCCAAAATAGAGAATTGGGAATTTCAAAGTTTGACCAAAACTATCTAAGATTTCTGAAAGTTTTTTTTTAAAAATCACAAAAAACGTCGTATCTCAAAAACGGAGAGCATATGAGCAGTCGCATCTGGACGCAAGATTTATATCTTGACGCTCCTGAGAGTACCCTTACAGTACCCAATTACAAATAAGGTATTTCAAATCTTTATAATCTAAGTTTCCTGAAAAAATAAGAAGAAATCATAAAACACGTCATATCTCGAAAACTACAAGGATTTGAGAGTAACTTTCGGAGACAAAAAGACAAAATTCGTCATCCTTGAGAGTACTCTGACAGCACCCAACTCAGAGTAGTTTTTCTGTCCATTGGATTCGGAGAGCCAATATGCTATCTAATTCAACGGAATATGCAAAAATTTTCCTGAGCGCAGTTAACTTTGAACGAAAAGCAGATTAGCTCAAAAACACGTGGGAACAAATATTACAATTCAAACACCTGTACGAAATTTTCCATCTAGCTGAACAGTATATAACGCTACTAATAGAGAAATAGACGGTTGATTTATTTTATTATAATATGTATAAGCTACCCTCAAACATATGAAAGGAACGCTCTACTTGTCTATTTGAAACACTAGGGTTCAATTGATTCTCAGCTCAGCTAAAAGAAGAAATTTTTACGACGAATGACGTTTCCTCTCTGCGTGAGAAAATAACAGTCCGAATTGAAGAACTGAATATCCAAAACTGATTTCAAATTGGCTGTTTTGATGGAGGCTCGCACATTTTTTAATGAATCACTGATGAATTGGCTATAGGCAAATCTAACTTCGTTTTTCGATATGGAATACGCAATGACAAACAGTAGTTTACTAAACATTTCAAAGACAATGTTGGTGACAGGCTGAACAGTCTGAGCGTCCCAACCACCTGCAGCTTTATAACCACGCTGAAGTTTCATATAGATTCCAATTGCATTAGGGCAAATCCAATTCGCCGCGTATAACATATTTGGATTTACATTCGACGAAACAGCGAACCTTTCAACAGGACCGAAAGTAATGTCATCGTACAAGTTATCTGCAAACTGCCAGTTCCAATTCGATGTAGTCGATATTGTATAAAAATGATGCTGAAAGGCTCCTTTGTGATAAAAGAATCCTTGAACGTTGGGAACATCTATTTCCCACCGATCGACCAGCTGAACTTTTCCATCCACAGTCTTGAAAGCCTGATAGCCTTTTTCGCCAACTTGAAACACCACGCCTCCTAAACAAGAAAACAGTCGGAAAAACTTGCTATCTACCTCCTTAACACATATCAATGTTGCGTTATCACTCTTGTCAATAAATTCGAATGAAATGCAGTCGCTGTTTTCACGGAAGTGTGCAATACATAAATAGGAGTCAGAAGCCGCCATTTTAATTTTTTTATACGGGTAATTTTTGAAATAATTGCAATCAACAGGTAATGGTAATTTGGACGAATTAGTATCGATTGCACTTTCAGTGATGGAAGTCAGCGCTTCGACCATTTCTGCAGTGAACGCTTTCAAAGTGAGTTTCAAGGATTCTTTCAGATTGTGTTCGACAGCAACTACAACTTCGTTTGAGCCAAAAGATTCATAGCAAATTAAACTGTCATAAACCTCAACTGAAGTTTCGAGTAAATTCAGGTCGAATTCTTTGACGAGACGACCATCTGAGAAGCTGAGTAACTCTCGCCATTTACGTTGCTTTGACTCAGCGGAATCGCGAACTTCTTCTAATTTCTTAACGAATTCGTTGGTTCTCGATTCATTTGAGCTCGCAGATTCTAGAACAGACTTGAAGTCTTCGTTTACTTCTTGTAAAGCATCTTGAAACAATTGAATAACTTTAACTTTGATGCCATCATCGTGTGACATGTCTACGCCCATTTTTTTCACGTGATCAGCAAATTTTTTAGCGCTGGCTAAATTTTTGACAATCGGCTTGTATTCTTTGTCAATATCGCTTAAAGCTTCATGCACTTTGGCTTTTATTTCGTTGGCTTGTTCCTCCAGCGCAACAAATTTGTGTCCTTCGATTGCGTGTTTTTGAGCAACGCACATATTACAAATCAGTTGATCGCAATCTACGCAGAAGGAGCTGCAAGGTACGAAATGCTGCTGACATACAATAGCTTCCATTTGTTTATAGTCCAAAACATCGTGTTTTCTTCTTGTATGACTTTGAATACACACTTCACACATGAGAAAAACTGAGCCTTGGTCGGAGGAATCGGCGCTTTTCGCTTGTTCACACGTTGTACATCTAAACTTCAGTTTTAAATCAGCAATTTTCATCGTGCATACAGAGCAGTTAAAAGTAACCGCGACTTGACTCGATCCAGCTTCGCTATCTGTTTCAGCTTCCATTCTGATGAACTGAGAAACAATTCGGCAGCTAAAAAGACGAGAGAAAGGAATAGTACAATTCCTTATGGTAGGCCAAAAAGACTGCGAATTTTAATCGTGTTAAATCAAGTTAAGCCAGTAAGTATTCGTTGAAGAGTTCCTTCCGTCAAATAGCAGATCTAGTTGTCTGAAACATGTTGCTACAAGTAAAATTTTTGCAAATGTTTCACCATTCTTTACTACAATAGTGGTAAAAAAACGCAAACTCAAGTATGCGTTTATTTGTTTCTTTACCATCTAAGAGCCGTATTTCAAAGACCAATATGAACAGCAGTTGTGAGGTAGTTAAACAAGCTTTTTGCATGGCCCATGAGCAAATATTCTCAGCTATATTTTAAGAAAGTGTCATTCCTTGGTTTTGAGCACTTCCCAGTGTTTTCAGGGTCTGAAGATGCCAGTTTTCTACAATTGCCAATAATTTTTCAGAAGGAACACTTTTTCGAATAAATGGAGTAAAAAAAGTTAATCAAGCCATCTGCAACATTTTTAATCAGAAAATTGAATCGTCAGAGTGAGAAGTTTCCTCTGCTCGACCGTGTTTTAAAACTTCACGCCGTTGCAAAAACTTAATACAGTTGGTGAAAACTGGCATTTTCCGGACAGTAAGCGGACAAACGGTCGTGCAACAATGCATTAGGTTTCATATTGCAAAAAAAAACAGACTAGAGGCCCGGCCGAAAACAAAACCAGGACTTGCGTCGTCCTACGCTTGGATCTTTTCTCTCAGCTGAACGCACAAAATGAGTAGCTAGAGCGTGATCAACTAATAAAGTACGCTGTGTCCTGTGACCAAAATTTACACAGACGCTAAGCTGCGCTTCGTCAACACACGCAAGAAAACGAAAGTAGCTCTAAAAACAAACAAAAAAGCCCAGGCCGGAAATGTTTTGCTATGTCACGGATTTGTACTTCCAACCTGGAGATATTGATTCTCACGTCAACGCATCTGCGCCTGGTCACTTGAAAATTCAAACACTAACTACCAATAAAGCCTCATTAAGTGAACAGATGCTATTAATTTGCAAATGCTACATATCGCACTAGGACACTTAACGTCTAGCTAATTATTTGATTCAAATCGAGTAGTTTAGGACCAGCAATTGCTAATGGTAAACTCAAGTAGTTCCGAGATAAGAAAGGGATACTCCGAGAAATCCCACAAGAATTTAGACATTTTTTAGTCATAACACATGAAATACTAACAACCTCCTCAGCTCCTGTTTACTACACTGAAATAAAAACTGTGTTCAAGAACAATTATATTGAACATTAGCTATAAATGATTAACATATTCAAGTACTTAGTACAACCAGCATCCCATACACAGTTGAGCAGATACAACAGTTGGAGGAGAGGAGACAGCACAACACAAATCATCAACAGTGCCCACATTCTTTGCTCGTAAGCTGAAGCCACGTTACACAATTTACCACTATTTTACATTTCAATGGAAAAAAGATCCAATTAACACCCTCCTGTCACGTATAGATCCAGCAAAACAATAGAAACATCATTAGAAAAAAAATCGAAAACGAAACCAAGTTGATCTGGAAAAAAATTGGGATTGAAACTAATACTTGGCCTTGGTGCGACAACTAATTAATCGCACTAGGCTAACCATGCTTACTTCGTCCTAACGTCTTTCACGGAACTTACATCAGATCAGGCGAAAAGGCTATTATGTAACTTTGATCTATTAGGAGGGTCATATTAGTCAAATTTTTCCTTTTCAGCTACGAATAGGTAGCGTGAGAACTTGGTAAAGAAAAACTTGATAAAGAAACTCAAAAAAATTATATTCCGATTGTTAATTTGGTTGTTTTACGGGAAGATAGTTAACTTGATCCTTTAAATTAAGAAAAATTAGGGAGATTATTTAAATTTTGTGTGCGAAGTCCCCCTGCTTAATTTGAAAGTACACTTCAGAACATTAAACTTACATTTGAATTTGAAACCAGATCAGACTTTCTCTGATATTCCGACTACGCATTTCGGTTTGAAATTTTAAAAGACGGAAAACTTGTTGATGACTATCGCAACGTGGCTCAAATATCATTACTCATTCTCAACTATCTGATTATGTTGGATTACAAGGAAGCGAAAGATACATGTTCTGATATATATAATGTAAAAGCGGGTTAGTTTTAATGGCATGTGTTTAATCAACCGAAGGCTCACAAAACCAAATAGCCATTCGGAATAGAGGATTTTTTTAAAATTCAGCTCGAAGAGAATAACAAAGAACAGATACGGATCAATGGCTGTAATTATTATGTAGAAAAATTGAGTAATTGCTTGAGCAACAAAAATTTCGAGAGCATTTTGAAAAAGTACTTCACGAATTAAATTAAACATGTCGATACTTTTGTCAACAAGTAAGGAGCCTTCAGTTGTCTCGGCCATACCATCAGCAAACAAATCAAATTGAAACGTGAAAAGTCATGTTAGTGAGTGAATTTGTAAGCTTAATCTTCGATTAATTTACAAATAGCGAATACAGTAGTCCAAATACAAATACAATTGAATCCATTAATTATCATAAAGTAAAAACAGATATACCCTTGAACCCAACTTGGAACAATCGTCCTGATATTTCAACGAGTACGATTGAAAATGAAACGAGTTGTTTACGAATTTAACTGCAGCAGTTGGTTAATTAATAATTGGTTAACAGCCATTAGGAGAGAGAATTTGACCAAGAGAAACAATATGACCAGTAAACTGCAAAGATTCAGAATGAGGTAATTGACTGGAATACTGCTGTAAACTTTGGCAGAGAAAAACTACTTGCCGGTTGTGCGCATCAAACTTAAATCTCATCCTTTTTTCATAACCAAAATCCACGCAAAATTGATGCTTTTCCCTCTGACAATATTTCAATTGAACAAACTTTGCTCAAACCTTGTTTTTTTCTCTTCTCATAGTGGTACAGTCAAGATCAGGGATTTTGGAATCAATTTCAGCATAATAATAAACAATTTCGAGGTTGAACATGAATCTTTTCGTGAGTTCTGATTTTAATTTTTCGAACAGTCTCAACGGCGACAGCAAATCATCCGAAAAGATCCAAAATAGACACTACTACACAAATCCACCTTTGCCAAAACAATTTGTCAAATCAAAGCACTGCTTTTTGAAGCGTCTCTGCAAAATTTCAAAGAGCTATACCTTGCAAACAACTAGTAAAAGAGCACTACTTGAGAGTAAAGGGTGGTTACAATTTACAGGTTTCAAACACAAAATACAGCTGCTGTAAGAATATATGAAGCATTTGACGATTTGAGTGATTTCAGCTACTTGATTATTATCCATTGTTGTGTTGTGCTTTGTCCGGTGATTGATTGACCGCAACAGTTTTGGCAGTGGTTGATAAGAATCCACAGCCCCCTAAACAAGTGTGGTATGAGCATAAACAACAGTAGCCGCTTCAATCTCCCAAAAATAACATCATTCGCTTCCCTATTTTTCTCACTCAATTAAGTTCAGATCAAATGATAAGAGCAATAAATTCAAATCACTGTCGAAACTTTAAGGAAAAGCTATGTTTCGCCACTTCCACGAATAGGACAAAGATCAATTAATTGAAAAAATCTAGCGTAACTTTGGAAGTTATAATTGAAGACCAGATTCACTTCTTCTCTCGGAAACCAAAAGGAATTTAGCAGTCATTTTTGGAGGCCGCATCTGCCACCTCCGAGAGTAACCTGAGATAACCATCTTAGGGTCGACATTTTTAATTTAGAGAGTTTTTTTCTATTAAAAATCATAAAAACGACATCTCGGAAACTTAAAGCATCTGGGAGACATCACCCCACCATAGGGTCTAGACAATGAAGTTTTTTTAGAAACTTCTTTTTAAATCTGTTTTTCGAAAACTTTTAGTTCCATTTTAGGTCCTTTTACGAAAGTTTTGACCTAAAAAAACTGTGCTATTACAGTTTACTGTTCAAAGAAGCTCTGAAATATTCTAGCGAAAATCGACGAAAAAAGCATGTCAAAAAATTTATTTAAGGAGAGTTTTCAGGTGATGCGGGAGCCAAATCTCAGAGGAAGGGGTACAACTGCTCTAAAAAATCTGACCCTGTTCCTACCGACACTTCTGATTGCATAATTTCATATCTTGTCAGTACTCTTTGATATATATTTCAGAAGTTCCTCTAATTAAACGCTCACCACCAAAGTAATCTTCTTAGGCCTCCGTGGCCCCCTTTTCGCCACTGGTCGGTGTCATCTGGATTGCATTGTCTGCTTTCTCTGGTACCAGTTTGAGCCACTTCTGGAGGAAAAGGGTGAACTTCTCAACTATCTGCGGAATGTAGATTATCCTCAACTTATCTTCCCAGACTACAAATATGAAGTAAACTGGAATAGCCGAAAGAGTCATAAGAAGTCCCATGACAGTGGACATTGGGTCCGCTTTGATCGAGAGCAACAGAACTAAAGTGCAGATAAGAACAAACGCAATCGGCATCACGATCGGAAACTTTATAGGTCGTTCCAACTCGGGACGCTTAAACCGCAAGAATATCAGCACACACACTGCGAGCTCGATTGTGAAATAAAACACGAAACTGAAATAGTTCAGAATTGATCCGATATCGTCCGGCAAGCACATCAAGCAAGAGATGAAACCGGTAAGAAACACGGATGGTATCGGAGTCTTGAAGTCCAGATTTATCATGGCCAGGAACTGCGGCATCTGTCGATTCTTGGCGCCTGCAAACGTCAATCGGGATCCGGTCATGATGCTTCCATTGACTGCACTGAAAGTTGAGCACGCCACCAGTATTGGCATGATCCAGGAAACAGGACCCAAAAACTCATCAGCAAAACTGATTCCGACAGCACTTGACGCTTTCATTTCCTCGGGAGACATTGCAGCAAAATATGCAACATTGGCCAGGACGTAGATAACAGTGACGAGAGGAAGCGAAATAATGATTGCCAATGGAAGATTTCGATTGGGGTTCACAATTTCGTCAGTCATGAAGTTGAGGTAGTTCCAGCCTGCATACGCAAACATTCCACTGTAGAAGGCCATTGACAAGTCAAACGGGTTCCAAATAGTTCCTTCAAATGCACCTTTGTAGTTCTGGGTCTGCCCCTTGAAGATCATATGAAATGCGCCTGTAACGATAATGAGGACAAGAGAGAGCACCTTGGCTATCATGAAGATATCGTTGATCCAGGTGCTCACTTTGACACTGACGCAATTGATGAAGGTGATGAGGAAGATGCAAGCAAATGCGAGGCACAAAACGGCTGTTTTGGTGTCTTCCGGCGAGCATCCCAATTCCAGGTGATCGGCGATAGGCTGCACGATGTATTGAGCAAAGGTAAGAGACACGATAGCTTGCGCAGCCGGCCTAATCACTAATACCGTTACCCACATTTGCATAAAGGCCATTAACGGTCCGAATGCTTCGTATATATAGGCATACTCTCCTCCCGATGCTTTTATGGTCGTCCCCAGCTCAGCGTAGCAAAGAGCTCCTAAGATAGAGTAGAGTCCACAGAGGGTCCAAAAGACTAAGGACATTCCCACTGATCCGCAGTTTGTCAGCACTCCAGTCGGGGAAATGAAAATCCCAGAGCCGACGATGTTGCCGATGATAATTCCGCATCCGTTGAGCAAACCCAACCGCTTCTCAAGCCCGACTTCTTCTCCCTCCGTCATCTTTATTGAACTCCTGTGGTGTAGACTGAGTTAATTTAGTTGGTAGTGTGGGCTATTATTTCGTTCAGTGAGTAGGAGCTGAGATGCGACCAATTGAATTTCAAGCGCCGCTCAATTACTACCCTGAAATTATGATGTTTAAACACGTGACGTATTGCGGAAATGTATTCCTTTAGCCTCAATACCGTATGTATACAGAGGTAGGAAAATAAAAGAGCAAAAATTGAAGGGTTTATATTTGGTTGCTTGGAAAGGTACAATGGAGGGATGCGTGTCAGAGGCACGGTCTGTGATTAGAATAGTGTGGTAAGTAAATGGTACATTGCTAGCTTAGAAGATTAATTCTGGTGCTACTTTCTTATCAGAGAAGAGAGAAACTGAGCTCTGACTGACTAGAGATAATAACTACAGTAAATGTATTGTTTTTATCCAACACACAAAATGAATTCATTTCAATTTGAAGAGGCAACACTACTGTGACAACTTCTAGATAGATACAAAATAATAACTAATAACAATTACAGTCACTCTTTAAAATAACAAAAAAAACTGTCAAAATTGGCAAACGAAAACCTTATCTATTCAGAAAACATAACCCAGAGTATCAAAAAAGGTTTAATGATCCGATTCTGCTGAATGGTTTATTGAATCCGAATCTGTTGGAAAATCCTTCAAGATAAAGACACGAGTAAACTTAAATGTTCACTCTTCTTGCGATACATAGATTCATCAAAGTCATGAAGAACAAAAAAAACATTGAGTGTGTGCCTATGTCTGTGTGCAAGGGCGGATCTAGGATTTTCACGAGAGGGGGGGGGGGGGGAGGGCGAATTGTCAAAAAATTTTCGACAATTTTGTCGAGCTTTATTGCTTTATTGAGGTGGACTAAAATGATTTCCCGAGCGCTACCAAAGCACTAAAAAGACCCTGTTTTGGCTAAAATTTTCTGCGCCGAAGGCAAAATTTTGAAAAAAAAACAGGCCAAAAAAGGCATTTTTAGGCACTTTTAGGAAAATTTGCACCATAAAATCGCGTTATTTTTGGGCGCACGCTCCTACTCAAAACTAATAAAAATTGGCGCCAAAGGCGCATTTAGAAAAATTTCAAGGTCCGTCAACCAAAAATGGATATCTCAAATTAGTACAAAGGGGAGACGCTTTGGGTTGACAGGTGGTCGAATCCCTGAGGGCGGGTGGTCCGCCTCCCCCTAAATCCCCTGGTGGGTGTGTGTGTGTGTGGACTTTAGAACCCTCTTGATACTCGGTGACATTGAATATATCCAGTGCAAAGTGCGAAAGCGATCATTTTTTCGGGGATTGTCTGCAATGGAGTTAACTTAGTGTGTGTCCAAATGATGTATGGTAGCTGTGGCTAGGGGTGGGTGTGCTGATTTAAGACACTTTAGGGGTAATTGTGCTGTTGTTTTTGCCACTTCCAGAGAGTAGTATTCGCAAAGGGAATCAGGAGATTGTTGAAATCTGTAGTTTCTGTTTTCGGGGCGAAATTTCTACATTCACACTCAGCTTAAACAAACGCTTTCTATTTAATAAGAGAGTCAGGTCTTCTTCGTAACAGGCTTTTCGGTGTGTTGAGTTCCGTGGAGATTCTGTCTGGCATCTCTTTGCGTTTTTTCCGCGCAGAACGGCTTCTTTCGGATGCGTATCGTGTAGTAATTGGTTTACTCTAGTCCCTGTGCCAGTCTGATTTGAAAGTGTTATCTCCACGAGCCATCAGCCTAGGCGTAGTTTCTTCTGCTGCCAGATTCCGCAGGTGCAAATCTTTTGAAATCAGAATCTTTTGAAATCAGAATCTTTTGATAACTTTTGAAATTCACAGATGCCAAGCTGCACTTTTTAATGGTAAATAGATACTTTTTCACTCACAAAAAACAGATCAAGGATTCCTTTTTTGGTAGAGTTAAAAACCGAAAACCTTACGATATTCAACGTTCGCAAACACTTGATCTCCGAAAGTAAGAATTAAGGAAGTTTAGTACTAGACGAGAAACAAAAAAAATATATATCTTCTGTACTGGAACTACAACTCCTTATTAAATAGATTCCTCTTCCCTCGTTCAAACTGTGTGTTTTCAGAAAAGTTGTAGCTAGGAACAAGAACACCTTATTCGAAACGAAAAAAGTCCCGTCCGTTCCTAGCCGTGGATGGGTGAAAACCAATGAGATTTCACATATTCAAGAAATCGTCGTCGCAACACTTGTTGATCGGAGACTCACAATTGAAAAATCTAACTTTCCCAAATTTCAATATCCTCAGCCTTCCTGGTGCAGGTATCGCGGATGTTCTAAACTTCTTGCCCCGCAAGAACGAATACGATATTATAGCTCTATTCATTGGTGCGAACGATCTGTTTACGAAAGACAAAAAAGACTCAACGAGAACACCCGAAGACGTTGCTGAAGAATTATCCCGGCCTACGGTTGACAGAACGTTGCAATAAAGTTTTCATTATCGCTCTACCACCCAGACTCGGAAGACCAGCCCGAACGGAACGTGTAAACGATATTCTTCGCAAAAAGAAAGAACTCTGGCGATATCGCGGTATATCGAAAGGAATAACCACCAAAACTGTTCTATCTTCCGACGAAGTACATTTAACAACAGCATCGCTTGCGAGTCTCCAAACGATTTTGAAAAAGAAAATCATCTACAAGAAGTTCTGTGTAAAAACTGATAGCGAGGGCTACTCGAATATATACCACTGCGGCAACAACACTTGTCGGTGTCATCATTTTCACAGAGACTGAATTTTCTATTGATACCCTTTAGGTATCGCCAGATTTGATGTCTTTGTGAATTCACATCTATAAAAAAAACCGTTTTCTCCCGCTAGTCATCAAGTACCCTTAAGGTCCCAAACAACTGTTTTCATAACCCTAACACTGATACTTCAGTCCTCAATCGGCGCCCTTTAGGTACCACCCTGAGGACTCGAGTACACTACCTAAACCTTCATCCCCCAAACACAGTTTCCACAGAGATAAGAGGACGTAAACATAAATAAAACTGAGAATGTCAAAGGACAAAAAACCTTGCAAAAACATGCAAGAAACCCATAAATGAAAATGACCCAATATACAATTGCATCACCTGTAATTGCTCTATGCACCTTGAAGTTGTCTGCACTGGCCTCTCGACCGTTGCACTCAATGGAAAACTGGAACTTGGTAACAACGCACTACTGATATGCAATACCTGTTTGTCCAACGGAAAAAGAGATCAAGTAATCAGAAGCACAGCATCACATGACAAAAGTGAAAACATCAAAAAAATTGAAGAAGAAATTTCAAAATTAAGTAAAGTAGTAGCCGAAGTCTCGACAAAAATGGAAAATATTAAAGATCCCATCCAAAGCCTGCCAATAGCAGAACAGGGTAAAACCTGGTCACAAGTAGCGGCGCAAAACATAATCAAACCCCTGAGCAAAGGATTGAGAATAAGAGGGGTCCCCGAGATCAAGGAAAGAGATGGAAGAAAAAGACTTGACCATGACTATGATGAGGTAAATAAAATCATGAAATTCTTAAACCTCGAATGCAATATCACTAATCTCAAGCGTGTGGGAAAGTTCAGCGAAGAACGAGCAAACCACAGAACTATACTGGTACGAGTAACCTGTCCAAGAGAAATAGACTTGATACTATCATCAACACCGGCCCTCAAAAATTATGACAAAAATGTCTTCATAAGTAAGGAACTCTCAGTCGAAGAAATGAAACTGGAAAACGCCATCCTGAGAGAACGTAGAAATCTCATCAGCAGTGGTAAAAACCCCAAAAATCTTCGAATCAGAAACCTAGAACTGCATGAAAAAGTAGACGACACCTGGACAAAAGTTACAATTAAACCGGAGGCAAACAGCACAATTCAGACTAGAAATGACAACTGACTAGAATCGCTGAATGTTATGTCATTCAATACACGAAGTATACTGGATATAAATAGACGTATGAAACTTAGCAATATAATACTATCGAACGATTATGACATCATTTGCTTAAGCGAAACTTGGTTAACTGAAAATATCCCTGACAACGCGCTTTTTCTGCCTGCACACATAATAACTAGATGTGATAGACCTACCAACTCAACAAAATCGAAACACGGGGGCGTGCTTATTGCTGTTAAGCAATCCCTAGCTTTAACAAAACTTGAAATACACACTACGGACTGCGTTGGACTCCTCCTTAACACTCCGACACCTCTCATCCTATGCTGTGTCTACAGTGTCCCGAACGAAAGCAAATATAAGCTATCCACAGATGACTTCAACAAACTATTGAATATGCTAACTGACTACTCAAATGAATTTCAATGCCCAAATATTTTATTGGTTGGTGACATCAACTTCGCTAATACGCATTGGCAAACCTTGCAATCAACCCAAAAACACGAACAATTAGTACTGCAGACTTTTACTGATATGAACTTTCAACAGTTTATCGAACCCCCTCATGACCAATTAGATATTGTCCTTTGCAACAACCCCGACATTATTTTAAACACCACGATAGACAACCATATGAAAAAACACTTCTCACACCAAGAAAGAGAATTATCAGACCACAACCCTTTTCTAATCACGATATCATCTCTTACACACAATGACGAAAAAGCCACTCCCATACAACACGGATCCGACTTTCTGGACTTTGGTGTCTTCTCATTAAACAACGTCGATTGGATTACTTTAAACAAATACATTTTGGAACACCCATTTCAACCGTACTGCTACTCTAACATTGACCACTTAATCAACTCATGGTACCTCTGGCTATATATAGCACTAGAAAAACACATGAAAAAACAGACCAAACACCGTATGAACCTAGCACCTTGGATCACACCTGAAACCTCCAATATTATCAAAAGACTCAACACAGCATCAAAAAAAGTAGCCTATAAAAATACTCATACTAATAACCGCAATCTTGAAAGACTTAAAAACCATGTAGATCATTTATCCGAATTAGATCAGAAAAATTTCGAAGAATCAACTTTCAAGGGCAGAAATTTCTCAAAGCTCCAAAAATACTTTAAAAGCATACGAAAAAACTCAAGTACTCCAAAAACAATGTGTTGGAATGAAAAAAACCGAATCAACAGAGCACGGTAAGCTAATATTCTAAACAATTACTTCGTAAGCGTTTTTAACATTTAACAGAATGAAAACATTTTACCAATAGCTGAATTACCTAGCTCAATCAAATGCTTCAATTTCTCTGAAAATGAGATATACGACATCCTTAAAACATTAAACCTCCAAAAAGCAAGAGGACCAGATAGACTCGGTAACACAGTCCTAACCAATTTAGCAGATAGCATAACTTCATCTCTAAAACTGATTTATAACACCATCACCAACAAAGCAACATTTCCAACGATCTGGAAACTTAGC